CACTAAAATTAATATACAGTATTATGTACAGTTTAGTTTCAGGTATTAAGTTTAATCTATGTATAATTGCTCGAATTAATACTTAAATTTATACTCATAAATTTGCTAAACGAATAATTCCTTCAACACTGTTCAACTATTTACAAATCCCCTCCCACTTGTGACTGTATGACTGTAACTTTGTCGCTTGTATCCTTACGATTTATATGGACTGTTTCCTAATATGATTTGATTGCCTACGACTATTATTCAATGTGGTACCTGATGATTCTTGACTCTTGATGAATGTAACTTTTCTTTTATGTACGCTGAGAGCATTTGCACCAAGACAAATTCCTTGTGTGTCCAATCACACATTGCCAATAAAGAATTCTATTTCTATTTCTAATTTATTATACCCCCACATCAGAGGTAGGATGCTACCGGTTCAGCCCAGTTCTGCCGAGTCGGTAGTGCTGAGTATCAGCTGAGACTGAACCGGTACGCTCTGACGATCTGCCTTCCCACCTGGGCTCCCATATTGACCTTTATTTCCTGTTCTTGAAGCGCAGCTGTTTTGCGTGGCACAGCAGATTGTTGCGCGTCAGTTTTTGAAGACACAGGGACAGTGCAGGATTGTAGGAGGTGAGTAGGAAAGCCTTTGTGGGGGCACAAAGTGTGCCTTTGGTGCGTGCACACACACAAAGTGTGCCCACCAAGCCACGCCCACCAAACCAGTGGTAAACCACTTTGAAACCCACCACTGCCCCACACACTATATTTATGCTGTCACATTAAAGTTAGAAGGAATGGCAATTTTAGGAAAGATTCTGGAGACCACTGGTCAAGTGTCATATCCACAAAGAAGTTCATTTCTTTTATGCTATATAGGTAATACTTGAAACATTTGTAGGAAATTATTGTATAAACGTAGGGAAATTGCATTCTTACTATCTAATATGGAAACCTACCCTGTGATATCAATAAGATTCATCTGGAATATTAGTTAGGTAAAATTGCTAATGTTTTGCCAAGCCTAAGATTGTAGTAAAGCTTTATACATCAGATAAATTACCAAAGTAGGAAAAACTCATCATAACAATTTTTATTCTTTTCCAATAAAGTTTAATGGTATAATAAATTTCAATAGATGAACCAAAGGAAAGATAAGTACAGTAGTTCTTTTAGAGTTACTGCAAGTCGTAATTGCTCTTATTTTTTTTGTTGTTGTTAATTTTGATTTGCATTGACTTTTCATCTGTATGCCATTACAGCAGCATTTCTCAAACTGAATACTTCACGATGCTTAGCTTCAGCTCCCAGAAAATATAACCAGGAATGATACACATTACTTTCCAAAGCAAGTGGAAGACTTCCATTCATTGGAAGACAACAAATGCTAAAACATACCATGAACTAATTTTTATTGTTCCTTCAATCTTCAAGTTATTAAAGCTGCAATCCAATGAACATACTTTTATATGGACCTTTGAACTTAGTGAGCAGATAAATTTTTACCATAAAGTTCGAATTATTTTTTAAAAGCCACAGCAATCATTTCTGGCTCTAATAATGCAATTTGAATGATACATTCACTCCACCTTCCGATAAGCTCCAAGAACAGAGAGATACAAATATTGAAAAATGGCAATGGCCCTCATACTGTGGATCTGGATAGTTCCTAAAGCTAGTGCATGTGAGAGATGATGCCCACAGAGAAGGAGCTAAGGCAAGTGGCACAGCCCAGAGCTGGATAAAGAGACACAGGAAGAGAGTAAAGACACCACTTCCTAGAAGAAGGGCCTTCAAACTTGGCAAGTTTAAGACTTGTGGACTTCAACTCCCAGAATTCCTGAGCTAACATGAGGAGGAATTCTGGGAGTTGAAGTCCACAAGTCATAAAGCTGTCAGGTTTGAACACCCCTGCCCTAGAATCTCCCAGCATATAATAATTAGGCTGAGAGTAGAAAGCATTTAGTCAGGCAAGATTCTGTCTGTTATGTATCAACAAATAACTGAGCTTTGGCTGCATTATTCTATGTCATTCTTGGAGTAAGTCTGACACCGCACTAATATATCGATTTATATATGTGAATTGAGTAGACGGTTTGAACTTCATAAAATAATATCTGGCCACTTACATCTGAGGAGTACCACAAATGATAAAAAAAGTGGTGCCTCTGGTGAATAATGGTACCGGGATGCCAATGGGTGCTACAATGTCGTATTACTTTCTATGTGGAATGAAGCGTATGATTTTTAAATGATTTTGCCTTCACTCACCTAAATTACCAAAACAACAAAGAACAGAAACATTATCACTTAGGTTTTTATAGTAACCTACATGGGGATGGCAGTGGTGGGCAGGGAATGTTTTATAGTTTCCCTTTGGATCTCCTTCTGCATCATGCAGAGCCCAACTATGTACTGTATTTTATGGAATATATATTTCAACAACTCTGCATATGATCCTTAGATAAGTGAAAGATGAGAATGATGCTGATTCATTTACATGGAATTTAGTCCGTTAGATATTTCTTACAACAATCTATTCACTCATCCCCATCCTTTATTCTGCCTGTCAGTGGCATTGTGTTGGAAAAAATCAAAAAGTTATCTTTCTGTAATACTTTGTGCTACACCAAAAGTTATTTGTTTTTATATTTCTTTCTGGGATTTTTCCACACTAAAATATGTTGCTGAAGTCACACTCTGGCATAGTCCCTAACTCTAACCCTAACCTGTTGCTCTTTAGATATGTTGGTTCTTGAACTCCCACAATCTAAGCAGACAGAATTTCACATGATCCGGCAAGTTGTAATCTCTTAAACTTATTAAATTTCATAGGTTTCAATTACTGTAACTTAGATTCAAGACTGAAATCCCAAGAGCAATTCTTATGAGGCAAGGTCTACTAAGTTCTGTATTCCTTAATGACTGTGAATAAATTTAATTAAAACACTGGTTACCATTTTAATATTTAAACCGCCAAAATCAGATTCTTCATGAAAACAATAATAAGCAAATAGATTCTGTGGGAGAATCAAGCTAAAATTCTAGTTAGGATAAATATTAAGGAAGAAAGAGGCTGTAGGTTTTATACTTAAACTTATTTATTTCTCTATTTTAAAATTTTCAGACAGGATATAGGAATCAATGCTAAAGACACGGAAATGTTTATAGAGCATAAGAAAACTATGCTGAATTGACAAGTTCATCCAAAAAGCTCAAAGTATAATGGAAGAAAGTACTACAATGTGACTTTTTTTTTTGTTCTTAGGCTACTAAATGCCCTGTACCTACTTCCTAATAAGAAGCAATGTACAACTCAGTAGTAGAGAAACTGCCATTTACAATCATTCTAACTTGGAAGGGTTATTTATTCCCTTTCCTACCAAAGAGAAAAAGAACATGGCAAAAGTATTTCACTGATATTGGTACCTTCTGTACATCCTCTGGTTTTAACCATATTCAGATAAAGCAAGTCATCTGAATAAACAGAATAAAATGCTCCCTCTTTAACACAGAGAAGATTTTATTTCGATGATTCTGCAGTACCTTCAGAAGTTTTGCGAAGCATAAAATTACTGCACGCCCATTATAGATACGTACTTGTCTTGCAAGCCATTCGATTTCCACGCAGTGCAAGTGAAACTCTGCTTCCTATCTTCCTGGTTATCCTAACTGCTTTCTTGTCCAACTCCAGATTTCCATCAGGCCCTTTATCTCTGCGGCCGTAAATTGGGGGGGCAAACCTTATTTCCACCGCGTTTAGATAACTAGGATGCAGCCTAATGGTACTTTTAAACACCTGCAAGGATGCAATCCTTGTCACCATAGGTAATCCCTCTTGCGAGGCCAACAGTGTGAGCCCATCACTCTCTTTGCTACGCGGGAAGATTGCAACGAAGGAAGCCCCAACAGCAATAAAGAAGCGGGCAAGCCAAAGCATGCAGCAAAGAATGCGACGGGGAGTCTGGGACGCCGGCACAAACCACGTTTTTTGGACCTCCCGCCGTCCAATGCTCAAATCCGGCAAGTGCCACTCAAGCTCCCCCCCGTACCCCCCCCCGGGGGGGCTGCAAAGCACTCCGGGCCTGCGAATGCGGCGGGATGACAGCTGCCACTCCCCTCCCACACCCCCTTTTCCAGGAAAACGGAGCGTAGGAACTTTCCCAAACTCCCGCAATTGCATTTTTTATAAACCCGGGTTGCGGGTCAAGCGTTACCCCCCCACTCCCCCAAACACACACACACGCATCGCCCTTCGAGCCACAAGCGGGAAGCCTCAAGGCATTCGCCTTAAATGAGTGGAGAACGAGTGTGTGTGTGGTGTATGTGTGTTTGTGTTTCCCTCCCTTCACGCCCTCGCAGCACTTTCTCAACTGGAGCTTGGGAGGCACAGCAAAAGCACGCGGGGCTGAATCCTCTAAACCAGTGCTCCCCAACCTTGTCAACTTTAAGCCTGGCGGACTTCAACTCCCAGAATTCCCCAGCCAGCAAAGCTGGCTGGGGAATTCTGGGAGTTGAAGTCCGCCAGGCTTAAAGTTGCCAAGGTTGGAGAACCCTGCGTCTAAACTCTTAGGATGTTCGTTCGAAGAGACCGCCCAAGCTAAGGTCTGCGGATAGCTTGGATGGGGCAACTAAGCGCCCGGCCCCGGCTACCTCACGAGCCACACAGGCCACGCTCCTGTGGGCTGAGCCGCGGCGCGCTCTGCCTCAAACTCTAGTCACGCGGCGGCCTCGCCGCTCCTCAGAAAGAAAAACCCCGCCACCCTCAGAACTAGCAGGGCGCGGCACCCCCAGCAGACTGCCCCTTCGCGCGCGTCGCTCCCTTCCTATTGGCTGAAGCGCACGTGGAAGAGGCAAGTGGTGTGCGCGCGCACTCTCCCCCCCCCCCCGCTTCCCGGACCCCGGGAAAGGGGTGTGCGCGTGTGTTGGTGTGTGAGGGCGAGCCTGGAGAAGCCGGGTGCGGCGCATGCGTGCTTGCGCCGCCCCAGGCCTGCCCGCAGCCGCAGTCACTTCCTGCCCTTGCGCCCATCCGGCTCCGGGGTCGCCGTCGCGCGGCCGCTTGGGCGGAACGGCCGACGGCAACTTTCTGCCGGGACGCTCTGAGGGAGCGCTTCCCTTCTCCCTCCTCCCCCCCGGCGGAGGCAGGGTCGGCGCGGGCTGCCCGTGAGAGAACTCGGCCGGCGCCCGCTGTCACCTGCCGCTGCCTTGGAGAGCCTCGGGCACACTCGGCGCCGTCCTTCGCCTCTCCTTCCGCGCGCACTGCCCGTCCCGTCCGAGAGGGAGAAAGAGCCGCCGAGCGGACCGCGCTTGATGGGCTGATCGCCGCCTTTCTCTTCTTCCTCCTCCTCCGGCTGGGCTGGCGGCTGCCCGTCTTTCCCGGAGCCTCGGTAGGTGTGTGGCGGGTTGCTGGAACTTCTTCAGCCATCCCTTCTCCCCCAGCCACGCCGGCTCGACTCCCGCGAAAGGCTCTGGAGCGGAGGTTTTGCGCGCCTCTTGTATGGTCTCTTGTATGGGCGGGGGGCGAGGAAGAGCGAGCTACTGCTTCGGTCAAAAAGGAGACCGGCTGGTGAGGTGACAGGTGGCCCGAAAGGAGAAGCCCAAGGTCTGCCCTGGCCCTGAGGAGAGGCGTTGAGGAAAGGCGCGCCCGGTCTGGGAGAAGCGCCTGTGTGTGTGGGGAGGGGGGGAAGGGGGGGTGTGTGTGAGAGAGAGGTGTGTGTGTGAGAGAGAGAGGTGTGTGTGAGAGAGGTGTGTGTGTGAGAGAGTTGTGTGTGTGTGAGAGGTGTGTGTGTGAGTGAGAGAGAGTGTGTGTGTGTGAGAGAGAGAGGTTGTGTGTGTGTGTGTGAGAGAGAGAGAGAGAGAGAGATTTAAGTCGCAATGGTGGAGGTGGGCTTGGTCTTGGATCCGATGATGGTTTTTCCCCCTGAAAGGGCTAAAGGGGTCGGTTGGGTTGTGCACATTTCCCCGTATTTTCCTTTAAAACCTTTTCTTAGGTGGACACTCTGTCCTTGCAGAGTTGGATTAGATTCTGGATCTCTTTGTCGGTCCATAGGTTAAAGTGAGGTGTGTGTGTGTGTGAGGAATAATGGATTATATGCCATCTAGTTGTTGTCAATTTTTTAGTGATTCCCATTGATAGATTTTCTGAATGGTGATTAGTCCCTAAACTAGTCTCTCAGATCATCTTTTGGTACACCC